CAGAGGAGCTCTGGTTGGTCTTGCTTTGTATGATGCAAACTTTGTCATGTCTTCTTCAAAGATAACCATGCAAAGCCTTCCTAGATTCGACCCCGTGTATTACATGGGGTATCTTAAATGAGAAAAAATTTGGTCATAAACTCTGACAGAAGAATCTAAACATTAACTCTGAAACACAAATCTGGAAAAAAAAAACTCTGAAAAGCAGTTGGCTAACTTCAGTAGCACTTACACGTGTACATTACAGTTTCCAAAACTGCCTCTTCGATGTAAACATTTGTTTCTTATAAAATTATTGTCCTCACAGACATCTTTCGTTTCCTACTACAGTAAGAACCGAATGTTTAAGACAACTAACTAAGTGATTCCATTTTCTTATGATTGTTGTTTCTAACGATTTATTACCAACTAACTTCATACACTCGTTTCTTATTGAAGGATTAATTTTTTTGCAGATTTATCAAAAAAATGGATTCCATGGATGCTAAAGAAAGGAGAAAATTTAGAAAGACAGTTTTGAATAGTAGTAAACAGTCATTCAATTCTACGTCATCAAACATTGAAGGTATTTGAGTCAATAGAGTTTTTGATTTGATGTTCAATGAGGGAAATATTATCTGTTCAAATAATAACTTCAAGGTAGTTTCTTTCATTATCATTTCCTCTTTCTTTTTACAGATAATATCCCAATTTCTGATAGGCGATTAAGATATTCATTTAAGAGCAAAAATATTTCGTATCATAATGAAAATATGGACCCAAACACATATCATCAGTATGAACATACAAGAATTCAACATTCTTCTTCAAATGTAACTATCAGAAGTCCATTATCTGATTGTTCCAATGGTATGTATAATCTCTTAAACCTCTCATTCTTAAACTAATGATTCCAATACAATTTCTATTCTAACACATGTTTCAAATTACGTAAATTTTTATATTCCAAACAGGCAGTCTTCCTATAAATAGATATTATTCCTTGCTTTCTAAGCCATGCCATCAATCACTTCATCGACAATAGAGCAAACTTCTTCCATGGTGAAGTTATCGGCAGGACAACATAGATTACAAAAGAAGACTGTAAATGTATCTGATATACCCATAATTGACCTTACATTAGATGAAGAATTGGATGATCTAGAAGAAGCTACAAACAAAATTGCAGGAATATCTGAAGGTAACCTTTGATTAATCAATTATTTCACAGTTAAAAGTAATTATTATCATCAAATTTATTATAATATTTCAAAACATATTATTAAACAGAGTACTTGGATCACGGTGATAAAACGGTTATTTATGAATGCTGCCATGCAAAATTATGGAGAGATGAAGGTCTTAGAGGGAAAAAATGTGGGATGAAAACAAGTTATTCCCTTTGTTGTCTTTACAGCAAAGTTCAGCTTCCCAAAGAGAAAGCAATGGCTACAACTTACGTAAATCTTTTCCGTTGTCAAGACTCAAAAAGCAAATACTTCATGAAGAACATTTGTCGTTATAATTCAATGTTCTCATTTACCTCAATGGGTGGGAAAGTTGATTCATCCATTAATAGCGGTAATGCTCCATACATATATAGGATTAACGGTCAAAATTACCATAGAATGGGCAGTCTTCCACCACTAAATGATCCAAACCAAAATTCTCTCAACTGTACATATATGATATGGAGAATGAAGTTTCAAATAGACACAATTCTTTTCGGTATATATTCATCCTTATCTTTATACTTCTTAATAAATTTATTTGAATTCCATAATATGGTTATATTAATGGTTACTTTGATTTTATATTTTTTATGATGTAATTAGTGAACAAAAAGAAGGGTCTACATCAAATTCTSATTGCCTTGATATTGAGATTATACAATATTTAAAGAACATACTAGATGCCCAAAATGTTTTGGTGAAGTCTTATAGAATGGCAAGAGATTGTTTCCAATGCTACCCTGATGTGAAGCTAAACTTACGGCTTATTGGAAGAAGAGAAAAGGATGGAAGAACATATAACCTTCCAACTGCTTCAGATGTTGCAGCTTTAATTGTTGGAGATGATGGTGGTACAATTGAGAAGAGAGATATCATTGTAAAACATCAAACAGGTTATCTACAACAAATAAGTGAATTACATTCTTCTTACCTTCCTCTTCAATATCTGTTGTTGTTTCCATACGAAGAAGATGGTTACAAAGTTGAGATCCCTATAAAGAGATAGCATCTTCAAGCAAAAGTAAAAGAGCAACTGTAACAATGAGAGAGTTCTTCGCCTTCAAACTTCAAGATAGGGTAAATATGTTTTCATTAATTCTCAATGCAAGGAGGCTTCTATAGCAATTTATTGTTGATGGTTACACAATGATTGAAAGTGAGAGATTGCATTACATACGTAAGCAATAGAAAGTCCTAAGGTGCGAGACTTATGCTAATTTATGCAATGTACAAGAGCAACGAGAGTCGGATGCTTCAAACATTAGACAACGTGTTATATTACCTTCTTCTTTTACCGGTGGTGCTCGGTACATGATGCAAAATTTTTGGATGCAATGTCCCTTTGTAAATGGTATGGATATCCGGACTTATTCTTAACCATGACATGTGATTAATCCTAAATGGCCAGAAAGTAAAGGATTTGTTAAAGACACCGGGCTAAATCCAAAAGACAGGTCTGAATTTCTTTGTCGTTTATTTATGATAAACTTGATGCACTTATTAAAGAATTGAAACACAATGAATTATTCGGCAAACTTCAAGTAGGTATGTTCAATTTATGATAACAGTGTCAACAAATTTCTTCATACTTTGGTTATATCTTTATTAATTTAAATTGTCACTTTTTTGTAGTTGTTTATACAATTGAATTTCAAAAGCGTGGGTTGCCTCACAGTCATATATGTATGTTTATGCACTTTGATTTCAAGCTACCTACGGTTGAACAAATTCATCCTATTATCTCAGCTGAGATCCCAGACAAAAACAAAGATCCAGATTTGTACTCACTTGTAAAAGAGTTCATGATCCATAGACCGTGTGGTGAAGAGAATATTAATTGTCCCTGCATGATTGATAGATAGTGTTCAAAAAAGTACCCGAAGAAATTTTCTGAACACACTTCCATTGATGTTAATGGTTATCTTTTATACCGCAGACGAGATGATGGACGTTTTATTGAGAAATCAGGTGTTAAACTAGACAACAGAAATATCGTTCCACATAACAAACATCTGTTGAAAAGATATCAAGCACACATTAATGTTGAGTGGTGCAATCAGGCTTCTTCAATCAAATATTTGTTCAAATATATCAACAAAGGTCCATATAGAGCTACTGTTGCTATTGTAGAAAACAGTAATGATGAGGTTATTATTAATGTTGTTGATGAGATAAAGGAATATTATGATTGTAGATACCTTTCTTCATGTGAAGCTTCATGGCGTATTTTTGGGTACGATGTTCATTACAAGACTCCTTCTGTTTTAAGTTCCTTTCCATCTTTCGCGACAACAACAAGTGGTATTTGGTGCTGAAGATGATATTGAAAATATCCTAAACAGACCATCTGTGGCGTCCTCAATGTTCTTAGCTTGGATGAACTGTAATCAAATTTATCAAGAAGCACRAGAACTCACTTACGTTGAATTCCCTRCAAAGTTTGTGTGGAARTTAGAAGAGSGACRTTGGGATCRAAGGAAAAAAGGCTTCTCAATTGGACGGATTCATTCAGTTTCTYCTACTCTAGGAGAAGCATATTATTTAAKAATTCTTTTGAATAAAGTGWAAKGTCCTAAATCATTCRAAGACATTYGTACAGTAAATAGAAATATATTTCCTACTTTTAGATATGCATGTTATGCTCTTGGGCTTTTAGATGATGACAAGGAATATATTGATGCCATTGAAAAAGCAAATTTAACCGCATCTGGTTTTTATCTATGCTTCTTATTTGCAACCATGCCGATTTCAAACAGTCTATCTAGACCTGAGTTTGTTTGGCAAAAAATATGGCAATACTTAGCAGATGACATTCTCTACAATCAACGAATTGCTTTAAAGTCTCTAGGTATGTTAATTATATATTATAAGTATAGATTTATACAACTATTATCTAAATACTAAAGAATTTATTGTTTTTGTATTTGTTAACTATTATGTTCTTTCTTAAATTGTATTTTAAGTTTAATTTTATGTATTAATTGTTTACATTTATATTATATTTTTTACATATTTATCCCTCAATGAAGAACAAGTGAAGAACCTGACATTGTTTGAAATTGAAAAGATTTTACTCCGTAACAATTCCACCCTGAGAAAATTCACCACTTTGTCTTATCCTGATAATGATTGTCTTGAATCTTCAAACAACCGTTTGATTACGGAAGAGCTAGATTATAACCATCATAATTTTTGTGATCAGTTTCAGAAGCTTGTAACTGCTCTAACAAATGAGCAAAGACGTGTTTATGACGAAATCATGACAGCTGTTGAAAAGAACAAAGGTGGTGTGTTTTTTGTTTGTGGGCATGACAAAACAAGTAAAACATTCATATGGAAGACATTGGTTGCATCAATAAGATCTAAAGGAGCTATTGTTTAAATGTCGCTTCCAGTGGTATTGCTTCTTTACTTCTTACTGGTGGCAGAACGACACACTCTCGCTTTCAAATCCCTCTAATTATCAATGAACATTCTCTTTGTCACGTAAAGCTAGAGAGTGATGTTGCGAAGTTAATAAAAAAGACTACTTTGATAATATGGGATGAGGCACCAATGGTTCATAAGCATGCATTTGAAGCACTGGATAGAAGTATGAACGATATTCTCAATAGTCGACGCATTAGTGACTCGTAAATGCTTTTTGGTGGAAAGGTAATTGTTTTTGGAGGAGATTTCAGACAAATTCTTCCGATTATTCCCAACGTAAGTAGACAAGACATTGTAAATGCGTCGTTTAGCTCATCTTACATTTGGGGAAAATGAAAAGTCATAAGGTTAACTAAGAACATGAGGCTAACTACAAATAGTGAATGTTCTGAAATTGAACAAACAAGGGTTTTTGCAAACTGGATATCGGACTTAGGAGAAGGCAAAGTTGGAGGTGATAATGATGGTGAGGCAGTTATTAAGATACCTCATGATCTTCTCATTACCGATTCAATGGATCCTATATCTGCATTAATACAATTTGTCTATCCCTCAATTCTTGAAAACATCAACAATTCATCTTATTTTCAAGAAAGGGCAATACTTACACCAAAACATGAAGTCGTTCAAGAAATAAATGATTGTTTGTTATCATTGTTCCCAGAAGACGAAAAGGAGTACTTAAGTTCAGATATGCTATGTGAATCAGAGCAACTTCACGATCAGTTTGATAAAACTTTGTACTCTTTTGATGTCTTAAATGGTCTTAAATTATCATGTATACCAAACCATAAGATATTACTAAAAGTTGGTGTTCCTATCATGTTACTAAGGAATATTGATCAGAAATCTGGATTATGTAATGGAACTAGACTACGGGTGTTATCATTGGGAAATCGGGTGATAGAAGCACAAGTTATATCTGGAAGCAATATTGGAAGCTGGACATTCATTCCAAGAATGTCTTTGACACCTAAAGGATTCCATTCAAATTTCGAAGGAGACAATTTCCAGTTGATGTATGTTTTGCCATGACCATAAATAAAAGCCAAGGACAATCATTATTAAAAGTTGGTTTATTTCTAAGACAACCAGTCTTCACCCATGGTCAATTATATGTTGCTTTATCTAGAGTTAAAAGCAAGCAAGGTTTGAAAGTATTAATTATAGATGATGATGGTATTATTGACTATAGAACAACGAATGTTGTATATAAAGAAGTATTTAGTAATCTATGATACATGGTTGTTATTCTATTAATATTTTAACTACTTACCTTTGCCTAATTTCTTCTACATTTTGTTATAAATTTTGTTTTACAAGCTTTTAATATTACTCATGTTATTATAGATTCTTTATAAAATGCATACTGCTTTCATTTAATTATTGCAAAATACCCCATGTAATATACGGGTTCAAACCTAGTATATATATATATATATATATATACTAGTATATATATATATATATATAAATTATAATCGGTTTTTTATATATATTTTGTTGAAGAATAAGAATTTGTATGAATAATACATCAAGTGATATAGAGGAAGAATAATATCTAAATTAGTGTAATGATAGTAAACCCGAAAAACCATCTTGTTGAACAATAACAATTTATAAAATGAAAGAAAAATCAAGTGATGGAGAATGCGAAAAAGGTTTACCTGAAAAAAGATTTTGTTGAATAATAATGGTTTGTAAAATGAAGAATATATCAAATGATAGAGAGGAAGAAAGGAAATTTATTGATGGACAAATCATGGAGGAGCACATGGAAGAGTTTGGAGGTTTCACCTCAAAGAATGAAGATGAAAAAGTTGGAAGTTAAAGTTTTTAAAATTAACAAAACAACCTTATCCTAATGAATTTCATGTTTTAAAGATAGGGATGAAAAAGTCTTTTACATATCAAATATTTTTAAAAATCGAAAATTTAAGAAAAAAGAAAGATAAACTTCTAATGTTTAGAGGATGACACCTCATTATAATGTAAATTAAAATCACTATTATAAGATGATAAATTTTAATTTAGAAACAAAAACACAAATAATATTACGTAAATCAATATTCGGTAAAGTGTTTCTAACTTTAATGAATCAATACCAACTTGGTAATTAAAATTTCCTATGAAAACAATTGAGAGAAAAACTCACCTGGTTGTGGTGCTTTTTCTATTCACTTGATCCTAAGAGTAAGAATAACTTAGATCCTCGGTCTATAAGACACGGAAATAGGATAAAACTTATAAGGATTGTAATAGTTACAGTAATTTCAGCACATAACCAACTTTTCCAAGGACGAAATATCCTGATGTATTTTGAAATTTAAGCAGGTTCACAAAAATCATCTGATAGGCGATATGCTTCCATATCATAACGTATGTTTTGATACATAAAATTTGTTCATAACCTAAACTTGTATCATAGCATGCCAAAATTACCAAAACTATCCACTCATAATGAAACACACATTCTCCGACTAAGGACGCGAAAAAGTCCTTTTGACATATCATTTTTTATTCATTTGAAAGAGATTAAAATTTCATCAAAACTATTACAATTTAATGATCACAATATTCCACTAAATACATCACTAATGACTCATAACAGTATGCTTTTAAAATCAACACAAAAGTAGCATACTCATTTACTTAATTAACATAAGTAGTTTTTAACTTTATGAATACCGCACAACTAGTTGGGATTGAGTCTATAACTGATCTAAAATGATTCTTCCTACATTTGTTAGAAATAGTTTTTTCTTAGATGAGCATCTGTTATATTTGATTCACTGATTTTGAAGTTTGGATGAACCCAGCGTGTCTATACAAACCAATAGATTATCATCAAAGCATTTATTTAGGCAAAATTAGAATAAAGAATGAATCAAATTCCCGTTTAAAAGAAATTGAGTTTTCTGAAATTTATCTTTTACCCTATTGATGTCCAACAATATTGAAAATGATTTGACTATTAAATGTTCAAATCAAAAGAAAAAAGAGGATATGATTCATAACCAACCGTTAATCGATAGTGACAGAAACTAACTGTTGGGCAGTGAAGGAAAAGCCTATCAAGAACGTCAAAAGTAAAATTTAAGAGAGATGAAGAAATTCGAGATCACATATTAATCTTCTATATTACAAGATGTATGTAAAATTATCAAAAATAAAGAAGTATTCATAACATAACATAGATTTTTCATATATGGATAAATGAAATGAAATGAAATGAAAAAGTCCTTAACAAATTCAACATTTCAAAAGAATCAAAAATTCTTAAACATTAATATTAAGAATTCTACGTCACATCAAATGTCAGCAAGGAGATTGAGGGTAAAACTTAGATAGAGGGGGAATGAGGCGTCTGGTCTCTTGCTTCTTCAATTTTTGACCCTAAAGATGACGGAGATGGAAGAATAAGCATGTATATATGATGGATACTAAAACATCCGACAACGGGGGAGCAAGAAGGCCAAACGTACCAGGACCTATGAAGAGGAGCTATGCAGATTTTAGAGATTAACTCTTTACAAAATGACCAATATAACCCACTCATAATCGAACACATGGTTTTGGGCTTTAATGTCTTTAACTAACAAAAAATCAAAAAATTGAGAAAAACCCTATATCAATTCCTAAATCTATCAGCCTGTCATGTCATTGTACTTAGATTTTGCTTTTATATAGATATAGATTACTACACCTATCCTTCTGGATCAAAATACTTGGTACCGACACTATTATATCCATTTTTCAAAAAGTAACGAGAACAATTATAGAATGGATTCTACCTATGCTCAGATCTGCATCCACTAGGAATTGGACCAACGAATTCGCCAATTATGAGTTGGGTGGTGCTTTAACCATTCAGCCGTCGATGCTTAGCAGGTCATAGTGAATGACCAGATTCCAATTCATATGAAATCTTTCAACTAAAGCAATAAGATGCTTAAATGTAATTCTTTTAGTACTAATAAATTATGAGGAGTTTGATGACAAGACATGAATTTAACCACCCATCAGAGCCAGCATTAACCATTGGTTGTTAAGGCGTATTCTCAAATGATAATGATTGAAACTTATATATACCGACAGACATCGAAAGGATTCACGAGATACCAATCGATTCCCAGTTCAGTTGTTAGTGGTACAATGAAAGCAAGGTGAGTACATGCGGTTTTCATATTAAATGTGATACATGTTATGCATTATGAAATTTCAATCTAAGATTTACATCGTTTTTATATGGAAGCTTTTTTTTTTTTTATCACATTTTCATGGCATATGCATTGATTATTACTTCGTTTCAGGTGGATACGTTGGCTATGAATGAAATTAGTCGGATGTATGGTCCGTTGAGTTTGATTTCATGAAAGGACGAACGAAATTAGGACAAACAACTGTAAGAACCGTTTGCTCGGATTTACATAGTGGAAAGGGGTTGTTTATACATTCCCGAATCCCTGACGAGGGGATTTCACAACACTTACCGATAATAGATTCACAATGCCGGTTTGGTGTATACATCAAAATAATTCCCTTCTAAAGTGCAATTTATGAGTGCACATGAGATTAAAAGTGATCAAACGTTCAAATCTCTCCTTACGCTTCTCAGAATAACTTTCCTTCTCACACGATTCTTCACCTACTAAATAATTATAGCATCGTAGCTTCGTAAATACATCATTTACGAATTACATTTTTGATCATAAGATCACTATTTTATTATTTGATCAACTACTAACCTATTGTTGTAATACAATAGTTAGAGTGCAAAATGGTTCCTTTTACCTTTCTTCCCTCAATTGATGGGGAAATCTGGCTGCTTTTCAGGCATGGCATCTTGGATAGCAGGTACCTGCTTGTATGCCTCTGCCAACCTGGAAAGAAGAGGGTACTCGCTCTGCACCAACAAGTACCAATTGTAAACATCCTCACAAACAATATTCAAAATTTCTGTTGGTCTCAATTGTATATATTGGCAATACACGAAGAAGAGCAGGATTATACACACACACACACACACATATATATATATATATATATATATAGAGAGAGAGAGAGAGAGAGTGTGTGACGTTCAGGGGAAAACCCTAGAAAAATGAAAAACTGAGGAACACCCTAATAACAATTCATCTCTATCGTATGCACACTTGCTTACAAGTAATTGAAGACGTTTCCTGGTTTCTATGCACGTACACATGTGCATACCGGACAAATTATTTGTATGCACATGTGCATATCATGCTAACGAATGGTTATTAAGGTGTTCCTCAGTTTTTCATTTTTTTGCCATATACAGATGCTATTAAGCATCCACAGTGACCACCTCCTCTCATCTGAATTGGAGAATCCTCATTTTCTCTCATTTCTTGTTATTTACTGACAAACCTCTCTAAAGTTGGTAATATATTGAAGGTGATAACTATTTCTCGAATTGTATATCTGAGAGCAACATGAGAAGCCTCTCAGAAGTAGATTACAAGCTGTAAACAATAATGTGAAAGAGAGCAGAGCCTACCATATCAAAGTTGTATCTTTGTAGATAACCAACGATATATGGAGCCAGAAGCACATCAGCCTGCATAAGTTGGCACAAATTGAACGGTTCGCCAGTCAGCTTTTATAAATTCTCATATATTAAGCTAGAAATTAAGACGTGAGATAGAACGCCTCCAAGGTTTTTCTCCTAAACAACTCGAGCTTAAAACTCTTCAGCTCATACTGAACCATCCAAGGCCACTTGAACCACTACGAAGATGCATTTTGTTTTTGTCCCATTTAAGGCCACTTGAACCACCACAAGCTAGCAAGAATGAAGGCCTGTTTAAACCCCTGTTTTCTCAACAAGGTTATTCAGTTGAGCTCGAACTGCTCAGCTAGGCTCTTTATTTGAATCTAGGGAATCCAGGTCAGCTTAGTTATGCCATTGGAAATAAATAGTTACATTTCAATTGGGAAAGATCAACATGTATTAAATTATGCATGATTACGATGCAAGAGTATATGTACCAGAAAAATTTCATCACCAGTTGCGTACTTCCCAGCATGATCTTTTAATAACTTCTCCAGCGCTGCAAAAGTTAACAGAAATCACAAATAGTGGTAACATACTAACATCATAACATGGTATGCTAGTTGAGTAAATAAATAAATAAAAATATATAAATTAGACTGTTGTAAGTAGATGAAAGCCAAGAAAATAGAGAGATTATATGATGTATGGCATAACTTAATCATGACTAATAGAAAGAAGTTGACCCTTTTCTGTAAGGTCTACAAGTTGATTATGCCATATGCCTTCAGAMGATCAACAGGGTGAAGCAATGGAAGATCATATTGGGTCTAGTCACATACAATTCAATTTTGCATATTTTTATTATTTAGGATACTTAGGCCATGTTTGGTAACMATAAGCTGGCTTATTTGTTGAGCTTCCGTTGGACGGCAATAAGCTAGCTTATTGAAACGCTATCAAAGAGTTCTTTTACCAAGTATGCCCTTAGTATTTAACCTGAATGATCAAAAATTCTATCCTTATTACAAAGACCTAAACGCTTTATGGTTTATAACTGTCTTAGCTTGTGTTTTATTTCTGGTTATTAACCCTTCTTTACTGAGGGAAGGAAAGACAAGTGAAAATTTACCTGTAAAGCCTTTTCCAACATGCTTATGAACCCATGGTACTTTTTCCTCAAGACCAACATTGTCTCCGATGTATTTCTGCAGGTTGGGATAATGAAGAAAACATAAAAATTCATGTGGAAGCAATATTTATTGGGGGTTTATGAATCAAGAAATGAAACATATTCTTACTCACCAAAATTGGTAACCTTATAAGAGGTTGTATGCTTGAACAAACAAAGTTTGCAGCCTACAGATTACAAACAAGATGARTAATTATAACAGGATGATCACATAAACCATAACAGATGAATATGAAAACTGTCTATTGTATCCCAAAACWTAACCTTAATTATAAAAGGGATCATAACACTTTTAATCAATATTGTAACCACATTAAACAGATTAATATGTCAAATAAAGAAATCTCAAATCACTTGATTTACTCAACAGTGTACTTATTCTTATATCATAGGGTAAATGAGATCATAATAATCCAAGTGACCAAGATAAACATAAATTAAGGGGTCGTTCACCAAACGCAACTTACTGCGTAAGTGCTTACTAGCAAGAATCACCACACTCACTTAGCTTATGAGTAACATTCTCGGCCATCAAAATGAATTGTTGGTAAGCGTCTCTTACTAGGTAAGAGTTTTCTCCCTCACAGGGTAAGGTTTTGGATCCTTGCTATGCTTCTTAACGGGTAAGATTCTTGGTCCTTGCCATGCTCACGTGGTAAGGTAAGTGACACAGGTAAGCATTTACCCGGTAAGTGTTGGGCAAACATCCCCTAACATATAGAAACAGAAAAAAAAATAAGCATATCCTAGTAGATCACTAGATCGAGAGAATATACTGGTGGAGTCCCAACATTGGTTTGTAATATCCTTCTCTTTTGATTAATATAATTTGTCCGAGACTCTTACAAGGTAAGTGAGAGTGGTGACTCTTACCCGGTTAGCGCTTACTAGGTAAGAGCCGCTTATACAATGCTATTTTGATGACCGAGAATCTTACCCAGTAAGGCAAATGGGATGGTGACTCTTACCTAGTCGGCACTTACCTACTTTGTGCTAGTAAACGACCCATTGGTGGCTAGGCCTTTGAGGTAATAAGAAGTTGATTACCTAACAAATTGGACTCAAGTACAGATAATAACCAGTGATTTACAGCATGACCCAATGTTATTGCTTTTCAGTTGCTTGTACAATATATTTATCATCAAGTGTACTAATATAAAAAGCTATAGAACAAGAAACCAAATGATATTACCTGATAATTTATTGCCCTTTTTGCAAGGTCACAAGGTAACAAAGGATGTTGAGGGTACTTCTCTTCGAGGTACTGTACAATAAAAATTTAAGCAAATCATCAAGAAAAAGAATAACAAAGGAAGAAAGTCCTTCCTAAAACAATACAAAGAATCTTGAATACATACAAGTAAACCATTTTCATGAAGGGGTTTCGAGGAGGTAAGCACTGATGTTACTAACCAATATGATCGCAAAAGAATCAGCAAGCACCATATCGCCATCCATGAGAGCAGGTATGAACCCAATAGGATTGATCTTTAAAAACTCTACATTTAAAAAAAATAAGTTACAAATAGGGATAGGATGCAGAATATAATAGAAGCCATGGGAACTAGTAAATCTAGTGGTAACCCAGTACAGAAAACCATTGTAAGCCAGCAATAAGCAGGTACAGACTTGGTTTATWTTTTGTTGTTTTGCATTCTTGTTTAAGGACTTCCAATAAATATTCCAGGTCCAGAAAGAGCATAATACTTGAAATACTTTGATATCTTATATGTATGGTTGAAGAAACACAAAATATATACAGTTTGACTGTTTAAATGGATAGGATTTTCCGATTTTGATCGTCTCTTCTCTAATTCTCGCCACTTTCTCATCTATATTTCGTTCTTCATATGTACTCGTCCTTGCTCTGTTGAATGTCTCCTTGTAATTTGGTTATTCAGTTTTCTCTATGCTTCTAAGATTATTGTTAGTGTTATTGGCATCCCAATAGCTCCTGAGGAACAACTTTGTTTTTCATGTACTCAATACTATAATGATGTTTCATTTGTTAGGTTATTTATCTATTTTATTTTATAAAAAAAAAGAATATGTACATGGATGTCCATAAATAGAGTCCTTGCGGTTTTAGCCTAAGAAGATGAACATCCTTACAAAATAAGCCGTGGGTTTGGGGTTTAACTCCATGTACCACTCATCTGTCGATGGGGCATGCAATTTCCCTCCCCCATCCACGTGACTGGTAAGATAATGACGCTTCAGAGGCATCATGCCCTTTTTTGCAACAAAAGAAAGACAATGTATTTTTATATATTTTGGGTTATCCCAAAACATTGCCTTCTCTCYAAAGTTTCAAATCCTCTTTGTGGCGTTAATTAGTAACATTTATAATTATCCATGAGAGGTGGGGTTCCAATGAGAAGGATAGTCAAGGTGAGATGCGTAAGAAGGGATCTCCACCACTTAGATGCACATTAGGATGAGATGCAATGGAATGCACCAGATCAATCCCAGTATCAAGCGCAATTCATGGTAGGTTTGAGATTAAAGGTGATCAAGGATCCAGATCACTTCTTACGCCTCTGAGTTTAACTCTTCTTCTCATACGGTCCTTCGTCTATCCACGAGTATGTTTTATTGATCCACAAACACAACTTAATTAGAATGCAGTGATGTATACATTATTTCTTTTGGTAACAGAGGAATAGGATACAAGAACCATCTTCAATTATATTATATAAACCCTTAAATAGAAATAAATAAATTTGGTACCTGGCCTATGCTGCTCTCCTTTGAACAGATTAACAGCTTTGTATTCATAATCAAGCCCTGTTGCCAACCCACAATCAAATCAATTATATGTAATCCAAATGCCTACGAACTGACACTACCATATTCAATTTTACAATATCAAATATCAGAACCTTTTAAATTGAGAGCAATTCGAACACTAAAGGAAGGGGGGCTCGTGGAAAAAGAGTAAAGTTGCAGCTTCTTTGGAAACTCTTCACCGTTATCCTTCATCTAAATGCCATGGAAGTGTGAATTAGTTTGTTGGTTTGACAGTTATAGAGATAGATATAGATATAGAGATAGAGATAGAGATAGGGACGCACCATAACCATATCGAACTAACCCCCCAAATGCCAATATTACTAATCAGAAACCCAGAGGACGATAATGGAAGTGTAGATATGCAAATTTCGTCAACGATCCAAGAGTCGGTGACAAGAAAAAAGCATCGACGAGAGCATATAAGCAATAACCATGCTTCTGGAAGGAAGGGTTTGCTTGAAAATGACGATAGCATATAAAGTAATAACCATGCTTTTTGTCGGTATCCATTTGGTACACCAACTCCCCGTTAATTGGACATACATGTAGAAATGCAATGTCAAATTTTAGTTGTTTAATGTGCCGTTAAATCCAAACTATGCTCCCATGTTGAATTTTTGCTTATTAGAATAAGTGTGAACAACAATGCACAAAACCACCGTGTTTCTGGAAGGAAAGCTTTGCGTCTTTTTCTCCAACACACTTTGTAAGTGCATGTAGATAAAGAAGGAACATTTTGGCCTTGTTTGTTGTTTTATTTTCGGCTCTTAATTACCATTTATGTCTAATTCATTCAGACGTTTTGTAATTCAGACTGTTTATTTTTTTATTATTTTCAAAACCTCTTATCACTTAGTAGAGTCTGAATAAATAAGTGATAAACCAGTATCTTAATTCCTATGATTTCCTTTTTTTTTTTATTCTCTTTGGCTATTGCTCTTTTTCCACTAGGGACGCCACCGTCTTTTCATCACTCATGTGAAATGTACGCCCCCACCTTCTCTGTCTCTCTAGATCTCTCTCTCTCTCTCTCTCTCTCTATATATATATATATATATATATATATATATGTGTGTGTATAATTTTTGTACGTATAGGTTAGCTTAGAAGATTAATGTGAAACAAGAACTTCTATCGACGATATATCTTCTATCAAAAGTATCGATCTTTTCACAAACAAACTCACCGGCGGCATTCCCGATAGCATTGAAAGTCTGAAAAGTATCCAAAAGGTTCTAACTGTTTCCATCTATCAGCAATTGTTGAGATAAATTTCGGCAATGAAAATTTTATGAAAATCAAGAGAATTTTGCAAAATGTTTGCACCTGATTTTACAAAAACAAACTATTGATTCAGATTTCAAACTTCAGACATATATCAATTTACAAAAACAAACATTCTTATGGATTCAAATCTCAGCACCACCTTTCATTAATCAGAAGTAAAACAAAACTTCAGACTTCAGCACCTATTAAAAAACAAACACCACCTTTTACTTTTGAGTTGTTTAATGTGCCTGTAAAATCAAAATATGTTACAATGTTGACTTTGATTAAAAAAAATCAAATTTTATTTCTCTTTCAAAAAAAAATATAGTTTTTATTTATTTATTTATTAATTTTCACTCCTATTCATTAGTGTAGGATTTGATAAGGTATAAGTTTTTTTCTCCAATAACATGCATTCACCCCATACATTAACCAAATATACTTGGTATCAACACAACTCGTATCAATTATTTTCAGTTAGTATTGGTATTATACCAACTTCAAATTACATATATAAAAACTTGCTATTATGATCAATTTTTTAGTGACTGTTTGAGTTCTTAGGTAACATATGTGATGTTTAAGGATTTTTAATTTCAAAGAATAAAGCTTGCAAACATTTAAATGTTCAAACAAAATAGTTAAAGCTACAAAGTTTAATATTTAATACATAAAATTTAAAAACTAATAAATAATTAAATAAGTTGATACCATGTTACCACCGTGGTACACAACTCCCAAAAATATAATTTCTTCCATTTTTTTCTTATTCACTTCAATTTTTTAGAATGTACTTTGGTTGACATGCTAAGCAAGTTCCCATACTAGGATGAGAGTTGGTAGAGTTGATGAGCCAAACTTGTTGGACAAGTATGCACTCCAAAATCTGTCTTGCTAGTAGTAGTAGTATATGTTAGACTACTATTTGACTTTATCTTGTATTGATCTTATTCGGCTTGTTGACAACTCAATCCACTTTAGTGACGATCTTGACCTCATTTCAACTAGTATTTGATTTTGTTGAAGGCTTTTTGTTCTTGGATCAATACATATATGTAACACCTGAATTTTCTTTTCCTTTTCCCTTTAAAACTTTCTTTGTAAAGTATATTTGTGAATATATATATATATATACTAGTTGTGTACCCGCGCAATGCGGCGGGATGTAAAAGTTCATTAAAATCTATTCAATTTCGAGATATCAAAGTCTTTCAAGATGTCATAAAGCCTACAACATTTGTACTTACATTTTTCTATTTTTCAATACTTGTGGTTRCAAAAACCTGCTACAACAAGTGTGCATGTAAGAAAAGCATGTGTGGGTGTGTGTGTAAGAAACAAAAGAATGGAATATACAAAAAGCATGTGTGGGTGTGTGCATGTGCGAAAAGCATGTGTGGGTTTATAGTTTAAAAGCACCATGTGCCTGAGAATTAGAAGAATGGAATATACAAAAATTGATGAGGTTTTAAAACAAGAGCATGGTTTTTTGTAATCATTGTCTGTTCTTTTAAGTTTTTACATGTGAAATGCATATCTTATTGGCCTGAGGATGGGAGGTCTTATGTGGCCCTAGGAATAGTATAAATACATATGCACACACACACACATCAAGATAAGTATATATATATATATATATATATCTATATACACACATAGACACATGTAACAGGTTATAAAGTCAGGTTGTATATAAAGTTAAGCACATATTGTAACCAGTAGTTCAACAGGTTATGGAGTTACAACAGAACTTTTAGACCTCTGTATGCATTACAGCAGCAGCAGGTTCTTTTTGTACAGCATGTTCTAATTTTTTATTTTCAAAATAACTCTAGGTTTGGATATTATGTTTTAAGAAAAAGCACCAACAAGTACTCACTTCAAAATAACTTCTAACATCCAAAGCACCAAGAAATACTCACTTCTATAGGAACATATTGCAAACAATAAAGAATGCAAACAGTAGGGTGGATTTGTTATTGTTTGGACATATAGTGGCTTTTTGGAAAATGGTCTTTTAAACAGATTGTCTGTAATAGTCTCGTTATTATTTTGGTTATATATATATATATATATATAATATATATATATATGTATATATATGTGTTTATTAAATGTGTGTGGGAGTTTTGTTTTAAAATATAAATAAAAACGGAGGGGGTGTCGGTTTATGAACCGCCCTCACCACCTATTGTAGTTGTGAGGTATTTATAGAACTTGTGAAGAAAAAGGCACACACACTGATAAGTGTTAATTTATTAACCTTATTACATCATTTTCTTAAACATTTTCCTTTGTTTTATTTGCCCATTAGTGTCTTAATTGAGTTTTTTTATGTCTTTTTCATATATAGGTAGTTATATAGTATATCTTATGTTAATTTCCTGTTTATGCAGGTTTTTGAAGATTTTTGGGGCCAGTCCTGCGACAGTCCTACAGGACCAAAAGTGGCAAGGTCCTATAGGACCTGTCCGAATGCTGGAAATCTTTTGGGCCAAGGAAGAATGGGCTAATCCAAAGAGAAGGCTTGGTCAACAACCTTAGGCTTAGTCAAAGCCCAGCTTGGAGGGAACTTTTTGTCTTATTAGTTGGCATCCACAATGAAGCTTCTCTTAGCCTATATAAAGGAGTTTAAGTCTTTTGTTTAAACACTACACTTTTCACCAACAAAAACCATTTAGCCACTTAACCATCTTATGTACTTTTATAGACTTTGTGATAATCTTGTGTTAGCTACTCTCAAGAACATTACCTTCGGTTCTAAGTTTTCGTTTCTTGTTATTTGATATTTCAAGAATCGATTTTTGTAAGTTGTGATCTTATTCTCAAAGTTTATTTTAAGTACTCATATTTAATCATCATCTCGCTTCTAGTTTCAAGTTACATTTCGTTTTCTTGTCTATGAATTACGTAGTCTAAATAATTTGCTTTTACAAGTTTGCGAATAACCTTTCGGTCTTTGTAACTAAACTTGTTATGCAAGTTACGTTACTTGACTTGCAAGTTTTCTTTCCCATTTTCCAAGATTTTCAAGTATCATCCATCCATCCATCAAAGTACTTTTTGGTCTTTCCAACATGTACTTGCTTTTCTTTTATTATTATTATTAGATTAGTATAATTATTATTATTTAGTTATTAATAATTTATACTTCAATCTTTTATATTTCAGTCCTTTACATTTCAATATTTATATTTCAGCATTTATATTTCAGTCTTTACATTTCAGTATTTATATTTCAGTATTTATATTTCAGTATTTATATTTCAGTATTTATATTTCAGTCATTTACATTTCAGTCCTTTACATTTCTGCAATTTAATTTCTGTCATTTAATTTCCAGTATTTCCATTTCTTGTAATTTACTTTCTGCAATTTACTTTTCCATCTCAGTATTTACTTTTTAGTCCTTCCATCCTTCGAGAGAAGAAACCAAGCGATGATGGGCTAACGCCTTAGCTTGGGGTGTAACGGAAAATTAAGACCAAAGCCGATGTAAAAGTACAAAGGTGTCTTATTAGCATTATAGTCTACTATTTATTTCAGGTGCTTAATATTTCATTTGATGATTACATTAAAATTAATTGACAACTAATTTTGTGTATAAAAATGTATTGACTTTCAA